TTGTTAGTAGGTGATAGCATTATCAAATATTCATATTTTGTTGATTTACATTCATATGCAAGTAATTGGACTGTTAAAGCATAGTTAGTCGGAGTGTTATCTATGACTAATCGTCCTAGGAGGAATATGACATTCATAATGATTTTTGTTGATGGACAGGTATTCACAACTTTTACCATGAGATAATTGTTAAATATTTTATTTTATATTATGTTAAAAATGTATACTTATTACCTTTTTTCAAAGGGTGATGCCATTGAAGGAATTGTATGCTTTGATGAATATGATTACTTTAAAGAACATTTAATTAAAAAAAACATATATATTGTTTTAGAGAAGTTCTTATTACATTGGCTGATGAGAAATTCAAGTTGGTACCATATCATTATAAGATATGTTTTACTAATGATACAACAATTGTGCACCTAATTGATCATGATGATAATATACCACTTCAGAGCTATTTCATTAAGAAATTATCAATCAATGGCCACTTTCTTTATCAAGATGTTCAATTAATAGGTACGTTACTTTTACCTAATGATACTTATCTAGATTACATACTTACATAATTTATTACTAATAGAAAAAATTTAAACTATCAAAATAATAAACATGTCAACGCTAAAATATGTAGATGTGATTGGCTTTGTTGTTAGTGTAATTGAATGTCAAGATATTGCAAATTGTGATAATTGCAAAAAAGCTTGATACAAGGTATGATACGATAACAAATTTGTGTCTTTACCAAATTTGAAATACTCTGCGAATTATATTATATTTCCTAATCTTAACTTTTTTGATATTTATTTATTGTAAAAACAATTTCACATTAGTAAGATTAACTATATGAGATGTGTTTACAACAACTGATGGCATACAATTATATCATACTTTAGCGAATGATAATATTTTATCTGCCATTGGATTAACAATTAAAGATTATCACGGTCAGGTTATTTTTCATTAACTTTTATAATATCTATATGCATATACATATATTGATATTGATAAATTATCTTTTCTCAACTTCTAGGTCTATGTTTCGCTACATGCAAATACATCAAGTTATATACTAATCATTCATTCCGTTATGCAAATCATATTTGAGTGTGGTATGTTATGATTGTATGATATTAGCTAATTACATATGACAATATAATTCTCACAGTTATATATATCTATTAACATGTCTTTCTAGATTTGTTATGAATCTTATATCACAAAAGTTGGTATCTTGGAATTGAAAAAATTGATTCTCAATTTCATAATCATTGATAATATCAAATGCTAAAAGAATTCGAATACGTGATTTTACACCTATGCCAAAGGTAATAATTGTTATCATTCCAAGTAATGAAGGTAATAATTGTTATCATTCCAAGTAGTGAAAGTTAAACGATATGTATATATATTCGTTTATAGAGAGAGATTAATTTATATTTTTCTAAATATTTTGTAGGTTTCATATTTTCGAATACTTGGGTACATCAAACAAATTGATGTTGACAACTTTTGAATTGATATGTGCAAAAATTGCTATAAATTTTTTGAATATCATTATCGTCACATTGTTTGTCGTCACTGCATACATGATGATATTGATATTATAACGAGATAATTTCCTTTACGTAAATAATTGTTGTGTACAATAATAATACAAACAATAATAATACAAACTTAACAAGTATTTTAATTTTTTATTAGGTACAATATTTTCTTTTAACAATTTTTTAAAAAAAAATTATTTATTAGATATAATGTTAACATTGTGGTCAGAGATAATACTGGTTCAATAAATCACATTGTTTAAGATAAATGGGCAGAGTTTATCTTGCGATGTCAACCATCATATTTGAAGAATATGAGATTAAAGGTAGAAAACTATACAATTTATTATAAATAACTCATTCCTACCTTTTCAAGCACAATATTATAATTCTAAAATTTTACACGATAATAGAGTTAGAATGATTAAATATTATATTTCGTCGTGCCAAGACCGTATCTATGCATTTATTATATTTGTACCAACAATGCTATGTCAACTAGATTGTACGCTGTGCGTGACTTTTGTTTTAAATATAAATTAGTCTGAAGAATGTATATATCTTTCAGAAAATAAAAAATATATATATAATACGTAAGTATAACATTTTTACATTATAACATTTTATAAATACATAATATATGTGTTGTTCATCAATTATAATACTAACTATTATGTTGATAACGCAGTAATGCTGATAGAAGACTTACAATAATTTAGATTTTAGTTATAATACATTTTATATTTATTTAGTGAATTTCGAACAAATATAATAAATTTTTATTTTTATTACTTTAATTATGAAATGTCAACATTTTCTTTTAAAATTACGTATATTTTATACTAATTTAAAAATATGTTTGACATAACCATAAATAATTTTTTTGAATCCAATCCCATACATAACACAAATGGATATGGTGGTATTTAAATTGAACTGGATAAAATGTTCCGAGGTGAAACCACAGTAAGATAAAATGAATTTCGTGTTAAAAAAATATTATAACCGGTAGTGGTGTTTGTTACCCAACATTATAATTATATGAGGTATATTGTAATAAAATACATACAATATATACATTTTTAAAGATGGACACAATTGTGTTTTGGCATCAAATAGAATCGAAAGAGCAAACTTGTTCGAATGGGAAATGATCATTGCAAGAACTGGCAAACAGAAACTCAGAGATTTAGATGGGAAATCACGTTTCTCAAGAAAATATATTTATATTTTTTGGAAGCAGGAAAGGAAAATTTCAAGGATAGACGCATCAAAATTGCCGAACAAAGCGGTCCGAAAATTTCGCGGCAATGATTCTCGACTTCTGCAGAACTACTTCCTTGATCTCAAAGAAATTGATTTTAATTTATTAAAACAGTAGTGTTATATATACTAATTAGTATATCAATTGGTGTATTAATATTTGTTATGATATTATTATTTCAAAATTATAATTTCATCTATTATATAAATTACAAAAATTTAAAACTTTTAAAATTATGTTATATCATCTGTTAGTACACTAATTGATGTACTAATTAATGCATGTATCATTATTCTTATTGGAAAAACAAACTCGACCGTGTCCTACAAATGATAAGATAGTTAGAGGTTGGTTTCTAAAATTTTTGGGTCAATAGATTCAAATTTTATTCTTTTGAGATTAAAATGATAATTATAATTTGAAAGACTGTTTTATTCCTTTTCGTCTATTAATCTATCAACTGACCACATCATCTTCACGTGTCATTTTACTATTTGTCTATTTGTACCTATTTGTCTATTAAATTTTCCTATTTGTCCTTATTTTCACCACCACCACTGCTGCTGTTGGCTACCACCTGTCGCCACTGTCGACTTCTTTGGTGAACTTTTGGCACAGACGATTTTTTTAGTGATTTGACAATAATTTAGCAGTTAACACTACAACATATAAGAGTTTAAAAAAATAAATTTTTTGATCTCTAAAAGTAAAAATTTTTTTACAAAATATATTTAGGGACTAATTTCTATCATTGTGAAGACAATCGCCAAAAAGTCGTGTCGAAAAGTCAAAAACAAAGCTATTAGTAATAAAATTTTAAAAATGTTGCTAATAAATACACTTTTAGGAGCAAAATAATTTGATTTCAAAATTGTTTATTTTTTTAGACAAAAAAATTTGGTCCTAATAGGATAATAATTCATCACTAATGTCCAATTTTTGTTGCTAAAAGTATAATGACGTCACTTATCGCAACAAAAATATTTGGTTTCTAAAAAATAATTTTGTCCTTAAATTTTGACCTCTAAAACCTTGATTTTTTGTAGTGTAGCTAGGGTAAAAAAAAATCCTCAAAAAAATACTGTTCGGATTCACGAGATCTGCATTTTAATAATCTAAACTGTTTAGTTTGTAGGACCTTCGTGTATATTATGCATGAAAAAATTTAAGCCAATATGATAATCTTAACTTTTTTCATTTTCTTGCATTTGTTTATGAAAAAATAAATATTCTATTTTTTAAAAACACATTTATCATTTATTTTTTTAGCAACAAACACAATAAACAATTAATTCAAATTATCAAAATAGAACAGATGATACACTCCATAAACCCAAATAATTCTCTCAAATTTATATTTAAACTTAAAAAAAAACTCGACTCTGAGAGTAGGGGGTTAGTTGATCCCATCAAATTGAAAAAGACTAATTTAATATATATATATATATATATATAATGCATTTATAAATCTTAGTGAGATTTCTCATGCGACACAGTCGAGGAGAATGAAAAAGTATGAAGAAATATAATCTTACGATCAATCTTGACTATTTGTTTGCGATTTAGATATTTTTAAATTCTTTGTTTACTACTTTGAAGTCAATCTAAAAGAAAAATAGGTTCAGTATTTTGAAACTGAGGAAATTGATGAGAGTTTTTTAAAATTCGGAAATTATAATCTGTGTTGAAAATTAAACATTTTTTCTAAATAATTTGATTGAATAGATATTCATTTTATATGTAAATGATTGGGCGAGTTGGTCGGTGTCAACCAAATTATTGGGATCATTGGGTTTCGGTTTGATACGTTGTGCACTTATCTGCATACTTTATTGATATATTCTATTATTTAGTCTGAATTTTCATCAATAAAGATTCTATTCTTTTGTTGATAAAAAAAAAAATAAATATTCATTTTATATGTAATTAATTTACCTGGTGGAAACAAAATTCTTGAATGACCTTATCCCACAAAATTCCTAAACACTACAGAAAATGTGAGATTTAACGGCGTTTTGTTAAACGTCACGTTTTTTAATATTTAACGACGCTTATAAACGTCGCATTTTGGTTTAAATAAAACGGTACCGTTTAACTGATAGAAGACGTTTAAAAGCGCCTTCAAATGTTATCCCCTTCTCACGCGCTCTCTCCCTCTTCAAACCCTCATTCTAAATCTGAGAAACCCTTCTTCTCACTCCCACTCTTTCAAATCTGAGAAACACAAATGTATGAATCTCGCTCGCTCTCTCTAAACCCTTCAGAGATTATGATTCAACCTTAAAGTGAATCTCACTCGCTCACTCTCTCTAAACCCTTAAAGTGATTTCGATTTCGAAGTTCGGTGATCCAATCTCAGGCTGATTTCAATTTCGTAGAGCAAAATCGATTTCGTAGAGCTGAATCAATTTCAGTTTCGATTTGGAAGATACGATTCAACCTTCTTCAGCTAGGTGATTTCGATTTCGAAGCTCTCTCTCTCTCTCTCTCTCTATTTCGAAGCTCCACCACCACCACCACCACCACCACCATCTGCATCATCTACTAAGGTGAGCACTACTGTCTACAATCTCGATTTCGGTGTCGAAGTTCTCTCCCTTTCTCTCAAGATCTTCATTACGTTGATTCTTCTCCTAGGGTTTACAATCTTGAACCTCCTCTTAGGGTTTGGATCAACTCTCCTCTTGCCTGACTTGCCCCGTGCGATTTCAGGCGGTAAATTTGCTCTCTGATCTTGAAGTTCATATTTAATTATAAATTTGTTTCGATCAACTCTCCTACTCTTTCATACACTTTCTTACTCTAGGGTTTCAAGTTCTTCAACCCCCTCAATTTCATTTTAATTCATCATCCCCTGTTTTCCCTACTCTTCCGTCAAGCTTTTACAGTCTATTTGATTCAGTTTTTGATCCATTTTTGTAATATCACTATTTAAAGAAATACTACTGTTTTTTCTAATCTAAGAAATAAAGGGTAATTATATATATTCACACATACACTACACATAAATGTGGCTTTTGAATACGTCACAAATTCCTCTCATGCTATGTTATTATATTTTTTTTTGGATTTGGGATATTGTAAAATGAGATTGTTATAATTCAATTTTTTGCAGCAACAAGAAATCGGAATGGTGGGAGAAGAGCAAAGCTGGATTATAGAATTGGTGCCTCCCCATTTGCCAAGAGCTCCACTACCTCCTAGCAAGGTGTTATGCTTCTCTTGGTGTGATTTCATTAGTTTTGCGTTCATTTTAACCTATTTAAACAATTTGATTCTTAAGTTTCTAGTCCTTTTGAAAGGTTTTCATCAAGAAAAATGCTATTTTAGTTATGGTATATGTGTGTTGTGATGGCATCTATACCATATTATGTATCATATACTATAATAGTATAAACGTGTATGCATATTGATACAAAATAGTCATGCATCTTTCATGTTTTCACTCCTTTAGACTTGACAGTTGGATGTTGTAAGTGGGATTTTGGATTTCGACAAGCTATGGAAGCCGCCCCCAAATCGAGATTATGTGCCCTGTGTCGAGCCAAGTTCAAACTACACAAGAAAGGAAGTTGTAGTTTTGGCTTGAGTTTGGACTTATGAAACTCATCTATAGTTGTTATTGTCTGTTCATTCGTTTATTCATTCATTGTTGTTTCATCAGCTTCTGGAGGGTCTCAAGGTTACCTTCTTGTTCATACAAATGGTGGATTAAATTAGATGCGAGCTGGGGTCTACATCCTCCCTCTCTCTCTCTCTCTATATATATATATATAAGCTTTATTAAGTCAGTCTTATTTTACCTTTTGTTAAGACCCCTATCATCCTAATCATTGCTTCTGCAATTAGGGATTTTTTTTTTTATTTTTAATTTTATTCTATGCTGGATTGGATTGTTGATAAGTTGTGTGATAATTGGTAAACCTGAAACAACATAATAGCCACTCCAGCCATAACCTGTTATGAGATTTTAAGGTTTGAAAGCCATTATGCTTTGCCAATACCTGCCAATCTCCAGATTATGATCATGGTGAAAAAGCTTTAATGTAGTTCATATTCAAAAGCGTTATTACTGGTTTTTCTTTTTAAATGGGATTTTTTTTTAAAATTTGGTGACAAAATAATTACATAATGGAACAATTTCCTTCTCAACTATGAAATGGAGGAATAAAAAAAAATTCATGAGTTACTGCTTAAATTATTTAATTGTATTCAAGATACAAAAATATACCTTTATGCATGACTTCCTTGTGGAAAAGATTGGAAGTAAGTAATTGAGGGTGCTCTATACTAAACTCCAATAAAATAATATTGTAACGGTTTTGTGATGGTTGGTTTGTGAATTGGGTGTAATCCAGATTTGCTTCATTTTCCTATAGTTGAGTGGGAAATAGTCCCTCAAAGTGTTCTATAATCATTGGAATTGAGCATCCTTCTTTCATGTGAACAATAAGATATCTAATTGCGTCAATGACTTCATTTTGCACATTCATAGAGCTTCCATGAATGTTCAGTGTGCTATTTAACAAACTCTGGAGCTTTAGGGGTGGAAATTTTTACTTAAACCAAACATGCATAACTTTTTGTGAGTGACCACTCTAATCCCACTATTGCTTAGTAGTCAATCAAATTAGACTCACATGGTTTTGGATGGTTTTGGACTATTCCATACCAAATTTGCCAGAGTGTATTTATGGTAATCATGACATCTAATTAAGTTGGCTATTTTGATGTGTGCTGAATGAGTTTTTATTTGGCAGATATGCATGCAATATGTTAATTTTACTTGTTATTTTGGCACTGTACCTCTTTCTATTAGTTGTTCATTATATATCTTGGCAATTGATAAATAACTAATTGTACTACTGTTGTTTTCCATAATTACATTATGTGACACAAGAGCGATGCATGCCAAGTCATTAGTATACATTTCATCACTATCATAATACTATTGAATATTGATACATCTATTACGTGAAGCTGAAGAATTGTATTTTTCTTGACTTGCAGATATGTGACATGGTTGCTGTTGCCCGAATTATAAATGCTACTCTTGTAATTCCAGAACTTGATAAACGGTCATTTTGGCAGGACACTAGGTACCATTTTTCAGATTTATATTTTGCATTTGTGTCTAAAATCTGCATGCTCGATGCTATTGTTAATATTACATGTTCAAACTGCAGCAATTTTTCTGATGTATTCGATCAAGATCATTTTATTAGTTCCTTGGCTAATGATGTAAAGGTCATTAGAAAACTTCCGAAGGAACTGGCAAATGCAACTAGAGCAGTTAAGCACTTTAGAAGCTGGTCCGGTATTGATCTGGAACTCGTTAACACGAAGAAAGCCATTTCCATCAGGTAAGCCGATGACTGTCTTGAGAATTGGGTATATGATCTGATTTTTTATTTTCTGTTCTTGGAAATGAGAAGGTTCACTAAATTCCAGTATTGTCTTTCATTGAACTTTGTTCGTGGCCTTTTCTCTTCTTTTATTTTGAATTGAATCGGACCAACTTCCGATTTTGTAACTCTGAAGCTTAACTGGCTTAATTTCAAGAGGGTTTGAAAGTAGAAACCTTTTTCGAGGCTCCTAATTAAGGAAGTTCAGTGCAATCTCAAATTGGTATGTGAAAAGTGATTATCATGAGGCTTCTTAGTATAACTATTTTGTTGTGGTTCTAGCTAGCTAGGATGAGAGTATTTTTAAATTTTGCTTCACTGAACAAATTAATTTCTAGGCAGGGTTGAGAAATTTTGATCTTCTTCATCACAAATATCTGAGTTTAGGTCACTTTATTTATTTAGTAATTTGCATTGTTGTGACTTGTGAGCCAGTTTTTTTTGAAGTTTGTTAGGTAGAGGATTGAATAATGATGATCAGATGAAACATTTGGAAATGACATTTTTGGCAACTGCTGCTCTCCAAGCAAGTCTTGTATGCTATGTTTGGTAGGTAGGATAGTAGAAACAGAATAGAAGCCGAGGAAAATATAGAATAAGCCTATAGACACACTCCGAATCATACCCTAAATCATACCTGCTGAGGTGTAAAATTCTTATTCGATTTCGTATCATGTCAAGGGCTGACATGGTGTGAACTCAATTATTTTTATGTACCAAAAAGTTGGGTAGTAGGATTTTATATATATACCTTAATTTTATGTAGCAAAAATTTATGTGTTCGGAGCATTGTGTGAATTTTTTTAATTATTTGATTTTCTTTTACTGTAGAGAAGTTGAAAAATTCTCAATCTTCCAAAGGTAGTTTTCAGTTTATGCTTTTTATTTTTTAACAAACTGCACTAAGCAAGTTGAATAGGTCAAGCTTTTGCCATTCTAATCTAATGTGTCAATCTATTGTACTGATATTAACCTTTCTAATTTGGTCTTGGCTGTGACTTTTTGCAGGAGGACAGATTGGCAAAGTTTGCCTCGTTCATAAAGAAAATTTAGTTTATGAACTGGGCCAAGCTTTTGTTACTATCGGTATTGTGTCATTAGGAGTATGGATGTCTTCTCTGCTTTCTGTATGAGTTCTCAAGCCTGACTCTGTAAATAAATCCTCACGGATTTCTAATATATTTTGTGTCTAGATATATTCTGTAATTGTACATGTATCACATCTTATTGCATTGTTTTTTATTTTTAATTTTGTTTTCAAACTTAGTTTATTTATTATTTTAATAAACATCAATTATTAGTTCTTAATAATTGTTTATGATAGGTATTTTTTTCAACCATATAAAATTAGCACAACTTTAAAAATAAAAAAAATAAAAATAAAGGCTATGGCGGCGTTTTTTGAACGTCACTATATCCCTACCCCAATGGTTAGATTTTTAAAATGTATAAATGTCTTTAACGGCGTTTCAAAAACGTCGCTAAATGTCATAGTGACGTCACAGTACAATTAGGGTAGGGCATTTTATAACGATGTTTTTTAAACGCCATAAAGCTATAGCGACGGCCGCGTCGTCGACGTTTGGTACTAAACGTCACAAAAAGAATTAGCGACGTTTTCAATATCTATAGCGACGTTTTTAAAACGCCGTTAAAAATCGATTTTCCAGCCGTGAAAGTAGCAATACTGTTATTTTATGTACTTTTCTAAAAACAAATTGTGTTCGTAATGTTAAGGTGGTTTTGTCAACTGCACTGTAAGTTTGAACAGTCTTTGTATGTTTATGTTTTTTTGAAATACAAAACTTGAGTGTGTGTGTTTGTGTGGGGAGAGTAAGCAAAAGTGGCAGTCTCTTGGAAAGTAAAAGGCTTTGGTTTCATCCACTTGAGTGTTAAGAAAAGCTTTCTGGGTCATTCTAGGAGGCCTTTGTTAACATAAATTTCAGAACTTCATGTTTCGGATCATTTACCATGTGTATTATCAAGAAATCAAGACAAAAAAAATACCTGAATCCATCGATGAACGGTTAAACGGAAGCGTCTGATTGTCAATAAAACCTTTGATATTGACTTTGTTAAAGCCTTCTAATCCTTTCCCTTATGTGCCTTATGTTTCTCCTTGAGAGGATTTAGAAAACAAAATAGTATTCTTGTTTTTTCACTCTTGGGAAGGAATAGGGACCATAACCTTTTAAAGGTTGTAATTGGTTTTCATAACTGAAAGGTAATGAAAACCAATAAATTAACCATTATTGGTTTCATAACTGAAAGGTAATAAAAACCAATAAATTAACCATTATTAGTTTCATAACTGAAAGGTAATAAAAACCAATAAATTAACCATTATTAGTTTCATAACTGAAAGGTAATAAAAACCAATAAATTAACCATTATTAGTTTCATAACTGAAAGGTGCATTGCATGATTGAAGAAAAATGCTTGGGAGCACTAATTAGTGCTCCCACTAATTAGGTGGCAGTGAGTTTCGTCATTAATGATGTGATGTTTTGGTCTTGGAGTTGTATTTTTTTTTTTTTTTACTTTTTTAATGCATTAGTGCTATTAGTGGTGATGTTTTTAGTGGGATGAATCATTGTTGATGATTGAAACATACCCATCACTTATGAAGCTCGAGCGTGAATACGAGTATTGATACGATACGGATACATTGATATGTTAAAATTAAAAAAAAAGGGTACGGGTGGCTTGGTATAATTGTAAAAAAATATTTAGTTTAAATTCAAAGTAATACAAAAATTAAATAAATGATTTAATTTGTTAAGATCTAACCTACAATTAACAATTAACATTTAATGTCAAAACTAAAGAGACAAACTAAAATTAAATGTTAATATATTAAATAACTTACAAATCATAATTTAATTTTAAAATCATTCCAGGCATAAAACAAAAAATAAAAAAGAAATCTAGTAAATAAAGTTTTGTCTCTGTAGTAGAAAAAAATATTATTTTAACTAAGGTATAGTATGACTTGGATATATACTAGGTACGCCATAGTACGCCAAAAATTAAGAAGAAAAAAATTTAGGTACATGTTTTGAGTACCGGTATGTATGCAGAAATATTATACAAGACACCATATATTAGTAAGTACCCAATATGAGTATGACATGTTTTTCGAAAAATTTATATGTCAGCTCTATTTTAAGATCTTAAAACCCTAATTTCAAGCTAAAGTATAAAGGGTGAAATTTATTTTACCCTTATGGTTTGGGACTGAAATATTTTACTTTCTTATTGTTCAAATATAGTCAGAAAATCTCATGTGATTTTGGACTAAAGTGTTACCATTAATTTTTTCATCCAAACTAACAGAAGGAAGGTGCATACACCATTTTTTAGAGTAAGTTTTGTTTTCTGAAAAATTCAAATGAAATTAATACAACAAAACAAATTTTCTTCAAACCTAAAATTAGATTAATATTTTAATTAAAATAAAATAAAATAAAATCAAGAATTAATCTAAAATATAAAATATAATTAAGAATTGATTTGTAATATAATTGAATAAAATATAAAATAAACAATAATTAAGAATTGATCTAAAATGTAATTAAATTAAAATTGGATTAAAAAGTTTGTAATTACAATAAATAGTTAAATATTTATGATTAATTTGCATCTAAAATATAATTAAATTAAAATTAGAATAAAATTTAAGAATTGCAATAAATAATTAAGAATTTATAATTAATTGTGATTTAATTGAATGAATTGTATGAGAGATAAGAGAGAAAGAAAATAAAAAAAAAAAGGTTCGAGGGTATTATAGTCATTTTACATCTACAATTAACGGTGTTAATTATTACATTTTAGTCCAAAATCACATAAGAGCATATGGCTATTTTTAAAAGAAAGGGTATCCGGTCATACTATAAAGAGGTAAAATATATTTTGCTTAATATATGTATGTTGGAGTGAGATTTTTTCACACATATTATATCAGTTAATATTAAGTGTATAAAAAAATGATTCAAAAAATGTATAACTCAAATTGTACAACACAAATTGATTTTGAATGTGAGTGCGACCACATTCAAAATGAATTTAGATTATACAATAAATTTTAATATATATATATATGTAAATCAAAGATCACAAAACTTGCAGCGGAATAAAATGTTTAGATCATACCTGATTCGATCTAAAACCTCATGGATAAATCACGTGCTTCCAGAATCTAATCAATCAATCCCAGCAGTGGGGTGATATTACAATGGTGAATATCACCCACACAAACCACAGTGCATCTGACTTGATCGTTGTTTCTTAGGATAGAGTCAATTTATGGGTTGAAACAAAAACTACGTTGTTTCTCTCTTAGGTTACCCATAACCATATATCAGATATATATTATATTATTATTATTTATCCATATGAAAATTTATGATGTTTAGAGAGAGAGAGAGAGAGAGAGAGAGAGAGAGAGAGAGAGGGGGAGAGGTGATGGTGAAAGGAACAAAGGAGGGTGAATCCCTATAGGAAAGCAGTGAGGGCGACAAGCATGGAGCAAAGGGGTGGAGGTAGGTCTGTACATAGTGTTTGTTGACAACCTACCATATATGATGCCTTCTAAAGGTTTGTTTAACCTTTTTACGAAGTTTGGAGTAGTAAAAGATGTCTTCATACTATTCAAAAGAAGGAAGCTGACGAATACAAGGTTTGGGTTTGTAAGATTCGATTGTCTAGTTGTAGCTGACATAACAGTGCAAAAAGCCAATGGTCTCTGGATGGATGATAAGGCAATTGAGGTAAAAAAAGGCAGACTATGTAAGGAACAATGGGGGAAAGATGAATGTAACACCAGCACAGAAGATTCAACCACCTTATAAATGATAGGGGATATCAGAGGGCGAAGACCTCAAGCAAAGCACATATATTATGTGGAAATGGTGAGAGGTACTGGTTCTGTGGAAGGTGGAGGCTCGATTGGAGGAGGCATAATCTATGTAAAGGTGGATGGGATTGGTAATGGTTGGCTCAATGAAAGTGCAATTATAAGGTTTAAAGCTGAGTATGTTAGTGTTAATTTGAAGGTGGAATTGGAAGCAAGAGGAATGTCTAACATCATGGTTAGACATGGTAGCGGTCGTGGAATTGGAAGCAAGAGGAATGTCTAACATCATGGTTAGACATGGTAGCGTTCGTGATGCTATCTTAAGTTTCAATCCAAAGAGGAGTTGGTCATGAAACTAAAGGTGATAAAGGAGTGGATAAATCACTGGTGTGAGTTCATCATATAGTGGAAGGTAGGACTGAGTCTTGAACAAGAACGATGTGTGTGGATCAGCTGTTATCAAATTCCATTAAATCTATGGAATAGAACTAATATAACTAAGATTGGAAACTTGTGAGTATGGGTGATCACGGTTTGGTTTTGGACGGTTTGCAAATTGGTTTGGACCTGCTCGCATATATGCGGTTCTGCTCGCATATATGCGGTTTGGAGAAAATTCAACCCTCAACTATCTATAGTGTCGGTTGCGGTTTGTGCAGATAAGATTCGTGGATTTACAGGCGGTTTGTGGATTGAACTTTTTTCTTTAAAAATATATTTTGGAGCATTTTTTCCCCCATTTTGTAAATATTTATTTTTTCCTCCCATTTTCTAAAATGCCCAAACATTAATAATTAACGAATTAAAATTTATAAAATTAAAGACATAACAAAATCAATTCCTAATACAAACAAATCATTCAAAATCCTAAACTTTTAAATCAAATCATAAACTAACACAAGCACATATTGCAAAATCCTAAACTAGATCATCAATCACATTCATTATCTATTACTCAACAATACAATTAAAGTAAAATCATTCAAAATCCTAAGCTTACCTAAAAGTAATTCTTCATTAACTTTTATATTTATCCAAAATGCAATAATAAAATAACAACGGTCCAGGTTTAAAAAAATAAAAAATAAAAAAGTGTCTAAGTGCGGGCGGGTTCTTGCGGGTGTGAGTTAAACTCGCAATCCACCCGCAACCCGCAATCATGCCATTTTCTAAACCGCATCCGCCTGCATTATGTCTACGAAACCGCCCATTTGTATGTGGATCGGTTCAGGTTGGGCAGGTTGGGCGGTTCGGATAACCCTATGCCCATTCCTACTTGCGAGGGGAAGTGCTAAGTTTTGAAGGGGGCATGTGTCAACTATTATCTTTCAATTGGGAAAAGTAAAGATAGCAACAAAACTGTTAATCTGGTGTGCAGAGGTCAGGTACACCCAGTGCAAGTGTGTGAAGAATAAATTGTTGTATC